GAATTCTGGGAGTTGAAGACCACTCATCTTAAAGTGGCCAAGTTTGGACAACACTGACTTATACCAATAATGTATCCTTCCAACCAACATCTTTCTTTCCATCAGTCTTTTCAGGGTCTTTGGGGAGGGGGAGTAAAGGAGTCCCCCAATTCAAAATGTAGTTTAGTATTTGAAGTCATCATATGAATCAGTATATTTCAGAATATTGATTAATGACTCCTGGATTCTTCAAAAGGCCCAGATCTTTCTATTTGTCATTCATCAATCAATATAAACAAAATAGTTTTAAAAAATGAAATTAACTTGCTGCAAAATTATTCCATTACGTTCTGTTTTACTGTATTATTGATGCAAAGCAATGAAAGAATACAATAAAAAAAAAAATGGGAAGAAGAAAAAAATTATCATCAGCACCACCAACATTAGCAAATCTTCCCGAAAACAATTACAGCCTTTCGGGCAGTTCCTTTCTTCTCTCTGTTCCTGATCATTCCCCTGAAACTGATCACATGCTCCCTAAAAGGCTAACATTTCCCACTCCTCTTTCACTACCAACACACCTGCCTCTGTGGAGGGCACCGTGCCTTTCACTTCCATTCCAACCCCGCCCTGCCCATGCACTCACACAAAGCAAGGGAGTGACACAATCCAGGCACACGCACTTGCCCGGAGGGGGCTAACAAGTTTGGAGAGGCGTGTGTCAGGCCTGTTGCAACTGGCCAACTGAAGCCCCACCCCTTCAGAGGCACACTCCAAAAAGTTCAAGAAGGGAAGTGGCATACGGTGCAAGGGTGTGACTTTTGTAAAAGGACAACCAGTAGGGTCCATGCAGTTGGTGATCCCCTCCCTACTCTGAAGAAAGGGGACACTTTCAGTGCAGGAAGGGTGAGGGGAAAGAGAAAGAAAGAAAGAAAGAAAGAAAGAAAGAAAGAAAGAAAGAAAGAAAGAAAGAAAGAAAGAAAGAAAGAAAGAAAGAAAGAAAGAAAGAAAGGAAGGATTTAGAGCTGACATCCCGCAAGTCCCTGCCTCTTGAGCACAAGAAGGGCTGAAACGTTTAGGTTCTGGGAACCTCCTTGGCACCCTAATTCTACAGTCAATTTAATATTCTTGCAACTGTCCAGGGTGAGCATCCATCCTGTGTGGACAGTCCCTTCCCCCAGGCAGTGATGGCCTTGGCTGATTTTCATTACACCACAGGGATCAGCAGTGGATTCAAAGTCTATATCTTGGAAGGTGAGTATCTGAAAACCTTTTTCCCCCCACCTTAGTGCTATGGTGCTTGGCAATATTCAGGCTTTGGTTGAGTAATTCAGGGTTGAATTGGTTCAGGGGCCAAAAATTCCTCTTGAGGGTTCTGTGGGGTTTTTGCTAAGGTAGGAGCCATCAAAATCTCTCGATTCCAATGTCCAACCTTCTCCTTCATTCCCAGAAGGCAGGGGGATATAATGATTCAAGAGCATGCATTTCATTGAATCTGGGTGATCCAGGATCAGTCAGATTAGGAAAATCTGGTTTGAAGGGGAAGGGCTTCTTTGCAGCAGCAGCAGCAGCAGCAGCTGTTACTCCTGCACAAAACAGGCGGGCAGATCTGTTTGCAATATCCCCAGGGCATGAAAATCAGTTCGTGAGGCTCCAGCTGACCATAGTCCTTCTTGAACCAGCACTCTGCCTTTCTGGCATCCCTGGTCCTCCCCAGGACCAACTGCTATTGCTCGAAAATACCATCCATTGCCACCCAAGGCTGCCCTCTTCTACAGAAGCAAACAAGCCCACTCCCCACCTCACCCCATCATTTCATTTTTTCACCTTCTAACCTGAAACTATCATCTCTGGAGATGCAAAAGTCTCAAGTGCATAGTCCAAATTTTAATATGTTTGCTCACACCAATATTGATTTTTTTCCCCCAACATCATCATTATTGCTTTTGGATCTGCAACTCCTTTGTCACCTCGCTGTTCTAATCAGTCCCACGGATTGCCTTGTGCACTGCTAGCATTGGTCTGGAAGCTCTTTGGGGCAAGAACATGTAATACTGTATTTAGCAGAAAGGAAGAGTTGTTTTCCCCAAATAATTTACCTTTAAATTGGAAAGATTTTCTAAAATTACTTGAGAATATGACCATGGAAACAGATAAATGAGGTGGCTTTTTTTCTTTTCTGTGTAAGCTTCTTTTTGATATGTGTTGAGAGAGTAGTGGTAATTTAAAATTCAGGCCTGACTTTCTTTGTAGTTGCTGCGGTTCTTATTTACTCTTAATGAAAATAATGGTTTTGGGAGTCCTCACTGTGGAATGGAAGCACTTGGACTTAGTATCTGTGGCAGGGAAACCAAGTATTAAAGAATTCCACTATTCAAGTCATGCCCAAGCAAGAGCAGCCAACTGAAGATCTTGTGGTACATGATGTTTTGTTTGTGGACTTCAACCTTTACAGCTACAAAGGGTTTTTCCAAAATCACTCTTTTTCCTTCTTGGAATTGCAATCGACCAAGGCACCTAATTCTTTGAAACAAATGAAATCTGGCCTGCAAATGGGCCACAGTTCACTGCTAATTAGCACATCCCACATGTAAAAATGCAGGTCCAGATGTGTCTCTTATAAATGTGTGTCAAATGCCATACCAAACCTGTCTGAACAGGCACCATTCGTCACAGCGATTATGCCACCTACTTTAATAAGGGCAGAAGAGTTCAGCTCAAACATCTTCCCGGAGGGCCAATTTAGAGATTCAGGGGAATTGTATGCTTCAACCTGCCAAGAAATGTATTACATCTCTTTAACATGCAGGTGAGGGAGCTACCTGCTTGAATAGACCAAGCATTAAGCCAGTGGACCATGTTCAAACAAACAAGGAGGAACCAGGAGGGCTCAATCAAGTCCTTTTCTGCAGCAACCATAACAGTGGGGAATGCTGCAATTCCTATGCCATTTATTCAGGCTGCCTAACCTGTGCGTGCCACATGCCCAACCTGTGCAATGTTGCTGGTCAATGTGGCAAAATAATGACATTTCCCCCAACCCATTATTTCAGTCAGTCTTACAATACTGCCTGTAGCAGACAGCACTATCTAGCTGACCTTGGCTGATCTCTGAAAGCTAAACAGGCTTGGAACTGGTGAGTATTTGGATGGAAGACCAAGAGGAAATCCCAAGATTGTAGACTAGACTGGGAAATCGGAAAAAACATCCTGGATGAAGGCAAGAGTGAATCGCTTAACATATTGTAGTCAAGAAAATTACATGAACATGCCCATATAGTCATAACATAGTAAGCTTTCTACTATACTATACTATACTATACTATACTATACTATACTATACTATACTATACTATACTATACAGTTTGAACTGTAGTATTAACACTACTAGATACTGGGGGCAGAGCAGAAAAGCTGAAAAAATGGCCTGCCTAAGGCTACACAGACGGTCAAAGACACGATTTGAATCCTGGAGAGAATGGAATTTCCAGTTTGCAGGTGGAACCTGAGCTGTGTTTAAGCTGACAGGGAATATTGAAAAGGCCTGAGCTGAATTAAAGATTCAGGCTGCCATGAAAAAGTCACACCTGTTTGGGCTGTGTTTTTCAGGGAAACTGAAGAACAGGGTGAAAGCATCGGCTTGCTCAGGGTGAAGGTGGGAACCCCTGCCTCAGTCTGGTGTAGTTTTGAGATACCCTCACATAGGTCTGGCCCTTGCGACATTGTCAGGAAGCCTAGCAAAAGTGATCACAGTGATCCCTAATTGGCTAGGATAGCCTCCACAAAGGCTAAAGATAAGCATTTGGAAAGGCAGTTTTCTGAAACGTGCTACCTAAACAATGTCTGTTCCAGCAATAATAGGACCTCTGGGAACAGGGACATGGTACATTAGGAATAGCTCCTTACATGGCCCAACCTGATGTTTTTATCTTTGTTTCCCATACACCCAATTCATCACCTAACATTAAAAGCAATAAATGCCAGAAGCACTTGCTTTCCTTTGACAGAGCGGAAATGAAAGGTTACACATTAGTTAAACTTGACACCATTTCATTCTCCAGTGCTGCTTGGGAAATCAGATGTTTCATGGCTGGCTGGGGAATTCTAGGAGTTGAAGTCCACGCATCTTCAAGCTGCCAAGGTTGAGAAACACTGATAGAAGGCCTTGAACCTGCGTTTTCCCATAGTTTCCCTAAAAATCCATGAAAGAGGAAAAGATGGAGTTGCGAAAGGCTTTTGATTGATAGCACTTAGGACTCAGGAGAGTCCTGGAAGAACCCACGCATCTTTAGCTGAGTGGGCTATTTTTAAGGCTACAGTACATGAATGCCAAACCTGGTCCTTTCAATCAACAGCATTCGTAACACAAACTGAATGTTTACAAACACAACTCGGATGTGAGAGTCTGCTTTCCCCCAGAAGATCCATTTTAGCACTGGCTCCCAGCATTTCCTAGAACTGAAATACAGTGGTCTCACCCCCACCCCAAGGTTTCTCCACCTTTCCTCTTGCCAGGCCACTCTTCCTTTGAGAACGAGCAGAGGTTCCACCGTCTGCCAGCCCATCGGCTGCCCGCCTGTTCCATCAAGCGCAAGCCCAGCCTCGATGTGAGAAGACTTCCCGAGGGCCAGAAGGCTTCCAAAGTCAGGCGGTTGGCATGCCTGCCTGTTGCAGCGTGAGTAAACCAGTAAGGGGCAGTGTAGCACTAGGGGAAAATCCACTCCCCCCCCCCACACACACACCCCCGGGACTGAATCTTCGCATTTAAGAATGACAACCCCTTTTGGAACATGCAGGACTGTTTTACTTTCTGTGAATAACAACCCTGCAAGGTAGCTCAATGGTATTGCCTCTTTATTGCATAGAAAGGATAAAGAGGAGTGACTCGATGAAACCTTTACCTTTAAAAAAAAAAAAAAAAAACCCAGAAGGGATGGGGAATACCATAGGCAGAAAAATCCACAAAGAAGCATACCTATGTTGAGAGTTGCCTATTGGAGCTTACAAGTACAAGATTTAGGCTAAAAATATCCTGGCTTATAGCTCAGCCTTTTCAACCAAGAGTTCAGAGTAAACCTCCTATTGGAAATTCGATGTTAGTTTTATTCTGGATTTATCTCCTACCCCATAGGGACTTTTTCCATCCACAGTGGCATTAACTCCAGGGGAGAAAGTCAGGGGGTCTCTTGCATTCTCTTACGTAAACACACACACACTTCCTTTCATGCCAGTCACACCACAACCTACCAGCATACGACCTTGTCACTTCAAGGTGCTCCTGGCCCCTCAAGACAGTGGGTTCCCACTGATCTCATTTCCTCCTCCCTTTTTTCCAGAGGGAAACTCCTGTTTTAAGGTACTTCTTTCTTTAGGCAGTGGTCTCAGAGCTGTATTAGTCTTTTCTTATCTGAGAAGCAGAGGTTCTGGAGAAGCCCTAGAGGTCTGAATGGTTGACTTCCAGCTCTCAGCTAGAAATGCCTTCACCCTTCTCCTTCATTCTGTAGCTGCTACGATATATAAGTGCCTGTGAATATATTCCCCAATGAACATGTCTCCAAACAGTGGGACAAAACCCACACACCCAAACACAGGATTGAGTTGAATGTGTTCTTTGCAAAAGGACCCACTTTAGTAAATCAGACATTATTTTCTTTTTCAAAAGGTTTAAATTCTAGTGTCCTGACTGATATATAGCATTGTCTAGAGGCAAATGTTTCCAATTTAAAAACATTCCAGCTTAAATGGTACACTGTGAATTTTAAATCCGATTGTACTGGGTGAGTCATTAATTCTTAACTTCAATTTTCCATGCATAATGCAAAAGAATAAAATATGTAGGCTATCTTAGGTTCATTTCACCTCTGTTTGTATTATATTAATGGGGAAAAAACTGAAAAAGCCTGACAGGATGGATATGTTCTGGGCTGGAAGACTATTCCTGGAACTGATTCAAAGAGTAAGGGGCTTATCTTAAGGGAGAAGGCACACCTTGACATTCCACAGCCTGTCTAAAAGTTGCCAGGACAGATGACTCTTTTAAGGTGATACAAGAAGAACATGATAAAATATATCGAGAGTGATCAAGTTCATTGAAATTAATGGATTTCATTTTAATTAAATCAAATTGTAATTTTTGTCCTGGTCCCATCCCCTTTTTTTTGGACCTAGCCCCTGCCACACCAGGTGCAAAAGGTGATGCAATAGCTACACACACACAGTGGGGAAGTCTGCATCCGGAACACCACAAGCCTCTTCCTGTTCTAGAAGACAAATTTCCAAAAATATATAAATCATCCCAGGAACAAAGATCAGGCCATTAGTGGAGGGAGGTGGGAGTGGGGAGGGAGGAAATGGTCCTTTCTGTTTTGAATATCATCCCTGTTATGCATCCCTGTCTTACTGGGTAGCACCCTATTAAATGGACAGCTGCACCTATGCACGGAGCCATAATCTGAGGTCTCCTGACCCTGATTTTCTTTTCTGGTGCACAAACAGAACCTAACCTATCTTGGGTCTGAAATAATAAGCCGAGGTGTCTTTCACCCACATTTTATCTTCATAAGAAAGTGTGTGGTGCCCAACAGGGGCAGTATGAAAGGCTTCTCTTTGATATAGTGCTGCATGAGGCCTCCTTGGTGTGACTCCTTGGCAGGGACAGGACACTCTGCACATGGCTCAGGAGCACCTTTGCTTTACTACTACTCAGGTGGCGTGGCTGACTATCCAGTCACAGGAGGGGACGGCGACATCGTTCCCGCAACCCGTCTGATACTGTGTTGGGTTACAGCTTCTAAAAGCCCGCTTGTCACCCCAGCCGGGCCGTTCGGGCATTTCCGGAGCCCGCCCGGCCGGGCAAAGCTGGACTGATTTGCTCATTTTCACCCTTGCAGTCAGTCGGCCTTCCTCTGGGTTTGGATCCCGTGCAGAGGCATATAGGATAGACGCCATTAACCCAGCTCTGTGCCGCCCAGCAAGCGTCCCTGCCGATGGGTGACGGCTCCTGTGTCTCTCTCTCCCCCTCAGCTCTCTGGAGCAGGTGGCGCCTCCTGCTGCCGCCCAGCTCCCGGTTGCCCCCATCGCCGTGTCCTGCGTCGTCCCGTCCAGCGCCGCCGCCTGCAGGGATTCTCGGGGGCTTCCCCCCTCGTGTCCACAGAAACGCCCCCTAAGGAAGCCCCCCTCGGAGCCCGCCCTCACAGTCGCCCAGCTGCAGCAGGTAAGCCGGCTCCGGGCGCCTTTGGCCCCGCTCCTCTCTCCGGCCCTGACGCCCCTCTCTGGCTCGATCTTTCAGATGCGGCCGCCGGTCATCACCTGCGCCCCGCGTCGGAGCTGCCCGGAGGCGCTGCCAAGCGCCCCCCCTCCAGTAAGTCTCCCGTCTCCCCACTCGGGCTCTCTTTCCCTCCCTTTTCTCCGGGAGCCCTTCGCCGACTCTCCCGAGAGCATTTCTCCTTTACCGCCTCGGAGCTCCCCCCCCGCCCCCGCAGCGGGCATGACTTTCCCTAGGGGAGCCTGGGACGAGCTATCTCCGGTGGGGCATGGCTGGCCTCCGCAGTGCCCCTCCCTCACCCAGATGCCATGCCAAGGAATGGCTTGCAATTAAACGAGCTCGTTCTTGCTCATCCATCCCTCTAGGTCAGTGTTTCTTAACCTTCACATCTTTAAGAGGTGTGCACTTCAACTCCCAGAATTCCGCAGTAGGGCTGACATCAACACACCTCAGAAGGGGTTCTGTAGGGAAAATAGGAAGCAGGAGCTCCTGCATGAAATAAGGGATATTAATCAACTGAATAAAATTTTGCTAGAGAAGAAAAGTCATTACAAGGATGTCAGGTCAGAGGTGAAGTTAATACCAAAAGCTGCATTTCTTAAAAAAATAACAATTAGCCAGGAACTCCTCTGCTTATGTGTTATCAGCCCCACTAGGTAGACTAGACTAAGAAATCCACTGCACAGAAAGGCTAAAACTATTTTTATTGAGATTGGCTATATAGGTAGTCCTCGCTTTAATGATGGTAATTGGGACTGGCAACTCTTGTCACTAAGCAATGCGGTCATAAAGCATGATGTCAATGTGATCACGCTAGTGATGGCAGTTACGGCAGTCCCAGTTGCTGTTGTTAGGCAAATCCTGTATGGTCACAGTGTCCCATGGTCACATGATCACCATATGCAACTTCCTGTTGGCTTTCCTATTGACTTTGCTTGTCAGAAGCTGGCAGTGAAGGTCACAAATGGTGATCACGTGACTGTGGGGACGCTACGACAGCCACAACTATGAGGGTCCGTCATAAGTCCTCCTCGTTCAGCACCATCATTGACTCCAGATGGTCAATGAACAAGTGGTTGTTCAATGAGGACTACCTGTAATAACAGAATCTTGCAAGTCTGATTGTGCTCCTTCTTATTGTTCAGTGAATTAGGGAGGTGTCTGGTATCTGCCTGAGCCACTTCCAAAAGTTATCTTGTTGTCCTGAAAAAAAAAAAATGCTTCAGCCCCTTTTGCCTAAGAAATGGGTCCTGCATATCTCCATCAAGATCATCTTCCTTACTCTCTATACATCCACCTGTTTCTGTTGCTAGCTCCAGTAAATTACTTAATTAACATAAAATTTGTAGTGCTAACAAACTACAGAGAAAAGCTACAGCAGTGTTGACAATCACTGCTTTTTACATTTATCGCATTGAGATCCCATTTTCTCTCATGGAGCTCCAATCTACATGATTTCTTCCTTCATCAATTTTTATTCTCACAATAACTCAGTATGGATATAACCTAAAATATATATATGGCGCCTCTGCTAAATTTCTTGTACCTGTTTCCTAAATCCCCAGGAAAAAGGTTCCCTGTGTCTCAAAAGTTGGTATGGAGCTTCTGGGGTTAGACAGCAAGTCAAGGTCACTTAAGTCAAAATAGTCATCCCTCAACAGAACTTCTGATATGTCTTTCTCCATATTAGGGTCAGGGACCCTGAACAACCCATTCCAATCTGTGTTTAGAGATCGGAGGAGGGAGGAAGGGGGGAAGAGGTCCTCAGACCAGGGCATATGGAACCGTGGCCTTCCTAATGGGGCTACAACACATAATGCAGTATTTCTCAACCTTGGCAACTTGAAGGTGTGTGAACTTCAACTCCCAGAATTCCCCAACCAGCATGCATTCCTGACCAGTGGCCATGCTGGGTACAGCTGCTGATAACTGTACTTCAGAAAACATCTGGGAGCAGCAGGTTGATCTAGGATAGATATAATCTTAGGTGGATGAAACCAGAAGCCAAGGTTTCCTAACTAACCCATTTCCCTCTCTCCCTAGCCCTCCCCAGCAAAGCAGAAGGACGATGTGACTTCCAATTCTCCCCACTTTCAAAGGCTTTGTCCATGGACCACCAACATCTCAGCATCATTCAGTGGAGCAGCATCTCCCAGGCAGACAGTCAAAGAGGCAGACAGGAATCTCTAACCTAGCTTTTGATAACCTGTTCCTTGTCCTTGACCTGGGGAGTCCCCCTATATCCCTGTAGCAGCCTTTCCTTCCTACGACTGGGCCCAAACATCCTGATTGCCACGCCTACCCTTTCCCCTTTTTCTATCTTGGTAGCCTGCTCTCTTCCCACACCCCAAACCTGGCTTAGTGATCTCCTTTCAAATACCTGGGTTGTAACCGCATTCCTATCTTTAAATCCATGTTATGTGAAAGCTCCACTCAAAATAGAGAATTGTCTTGCTAATTAGACATGGATGGAGAGCCATCAAGTCCAGCATTTTGGGTTCCAGTAAAGGCCAGCCAAATGCCTCTTCGAAGCTCACAATAGGCAGGACATGACATTGTTTGTCCTTGCCATCTAATACTTTATATAGTAAAGTCCATTTAGTTACTGTCTATACCAGTGTGTCTCAATCTTGGCAACTCTAAGTTGTGTGAACTTCAACTCCCAGAATTCCCCAGCCAGCATTCAAATTGCCAAGGTTGAGAAACACTTGTCTATACTAATAATCATCTCAGAATCCTTTGGGAGTGAAAATAACATCCTCCAAGCAGAAGAAGGGGATTTCAGGAGACATAGAAGAACCTCAACGTCTGCAGAAATACAAAGCACCTTTACGAAGGGAAAAAGGAAGAGAAAGACAAGCCCAGTCCAATGATAACTGAACGCATACCATGACCCAGGAACATAGACTGATTGCTGGGCCAGGGGTTATGGAAAACGGGAGGAAATGGAATGGCTCTCCTAGAAAAGGGAATGGCATGGCTATCTGGAACCTAGCACATTTTCTTGCAGATCCTACTTGTTATAGCAATCTTCTGTCACTGGATCAGTTTTATAAGAGTGTATGTTGGTGTATGCGTGAAAGATATGTGTGGGCTGATAGTAATGAGGTAAAAAAAAGTATAGCAGGCTCAAATTGTTCTCACTAGTTGCACTTGCAACTGAAACCTTGTACATGCACACCGATTAGAAAATCTTTAATTTTAACCATTTTTTAGAACAAAATACATGATGGCTTCCAAAAAAAATACAGGGAAGAGGAAACTCGGGTTGACCTAGCAATGCCTGGAGACCCTGAAACCGCAAATAACCTCTGACACCGGAAGAGTCAGATGAAGAACTCCCTCAGCCTAGAAACTGGAGAGTAGCTTCTCTGCATATACATACCTACACACATCTATCCTATTTGTAATTCATGAATGTCAATAAAGTTGCATTTAACTGTGTCTATGTGCCATGCGATGGGAGGATGCAGTGAGGACAGAACACATTTTCTTAATGCTTCCTATCAAATCCACAAAAAATCATTTTAAAAAATCTAGCATGGGAGAAAACAAAGTTCTTAAGTTATTCCCTGTGGAGCTCTTTTTTTTTTTTAATTTGAGTTCTTTATCTGGCCAAGTTTTCTTTTTTTTAAGCATCTCCATCCAGTCTAAAGCAATTAGCTCCATTCTGTCACTTCAGATCCCTGCCACCCTGAATATTCAGTGCCAGAACTGAATTCAGAGCCTTACACTAAGACAAAAACAAAAAACCAACACTCTTGTTTTCCTAAATGTCTTCTACCTGCTGCAAATCAGGCTTCAGGATTGCAGGATGCATCAATAATATGTGGAGAAAGAGGGATAGTGTTGGTAAACACACAATGCATGCATACTTCCCAAATAGATGATCATCAGATTCCTCCAGGAGGAATAAACTCCAGGGTAGTTAAGAGTGGATAAGCATGCCATAAGAGCAGAACGTGCCTTTAAGCCAAGAACAACATTTCTAAAATAGCAGCAGATATTATTTTTTTTACAAATGTTTATAGCTTTAAAGCAAACTGACTAAGCTATTTTCCAGCAAATCTATACATTCATTGCTTTTTACATCTTTTTTTATTTTATCTACGAGCATCCTAAAACATTCTAATGCGAAGTTTGTTCCTCTGCTAAAGTAAAACTTTAACTCTTGTGGAATTCTCAAATGAGGAATTCATTGGCTTAACACATACTGTACTATACATTTTAAACA